GGCGGAAGGGGGAGAGGTTGAGGGGGCGGGGGTGAAGCTCCGATCGTGAGGTGGCAAAAACGCAATGGGCCTCCAAGCCTTCAACCACTGCCCCTGCATTGCCCAGTGGCGTGGCGTGCTTTGCGATATATCGATTGATCTGCCATTTAAAACTATATAAAAGGATCGATAAACAGGGTGTTCCCAACGAACACTTTCAAAATCAATTCTTTACCACGGCTTTAAATGGGGAAAAATCGATAATCGATCATTAACGCCTCGCCACTACCCTTGCCCGCAAGAGCTGGTCGTGAACATTTTTTACGAAAACAAATGGACTAAATTGGGCAAATAGGAACTACTATTCCTTCCTTATCCATAAAATCACAGATCTTAATGAAGAAACTAACGGACCATACATCGTTTTTAAAATAAGTCGGAAATAGTATAATAATAGTTCCTGATTGGCAACTGTAGTCTAATTGTTAATACTGTGGAGTTTGAGAAAAGTTTCAAAAACGCGAGATAATTTTCAACCCGAAAATCCGTTAGCACGGTTTTCAATCGAACGCGCCTTCAATTTTGGTGATACTCTACGCATTGCCGTGGAGTTAGTTTAGTTGCGTGCCCTAACGAACCCAACTAAAATTAACTCTGTTCATTGCGCTGAAAAAAAAATATGCTCCATGTCATTGCGATTTTAAAATTATATATCTGGTCATGGAGTATAAGTTGTTTTAAAAATGAGTCAAAAATAGTAGTTCCTGATCGCAAACTATGGTCTAATTGTCAATACTACTTTTAGATTGAGAAGAGTTTAAAAAACGCGAGAAAATTTGCAGCTCAAGCGCCGCTAGAATTCATTAGCACGCTTTTCATTCGAACGCGCCTTCAATTTTGGTGATACTCTACGCATTGCCGTGGAGTTAGTTTAGCTGCGTGACCTAACCGAACCCAACTAAAACGCCTCTAGAATTCTATTACACAAGTTGCAATGTGTTCAAATGACGCACCAGCTGGTCAACAATATGTAGAGGGGCCTGACAGAATAGATTAATCTGTGGTACCTTTATTTAATGATCCTGATGTCCAAAGCACGCAGGACGACTTTTCTATACAATATATTTTTTTTAGCGGAGGTGTAGTTTTTTCAAAATAATTGATTTTTGAAATTTTAATTAGAGAGCTCTTTAATCTCAACAGTGCTCATTTTCTTCGGGGAACTTTGAAACGTCCGTACATAGAAAAAAGCTGAGTGCACCGCTAATACGAACGTATTAGAGCTTTCCCGCTTTTCTCTATTCTTATTCCTTCAATTTTCTTGCCCCGCTGATGGATCGCCCCCTCACCCCTGGGATGGTGATAGTTACGATTGTGGATCGGGATGTGGGTACTGGTGGCCACCTTGGTAGTGAAACAACTCAATTAGACGTATTTATGCTAAAATCAACTGCACTGCCGTGCTAGGGAAAAACGCAGTACGAACATTCGAGAGTTGCCAAATTTCCCTCAGTAAAAATCTTGATTGTTGAGGAAGTTATGAATATATTTCCTTGAAATTTTCAGGAGCTTTGGGTAAAATTGCGAACAAAATTTTCTGAGAAATTGGAAGGCAAACATTCATTAGTTTACCAGGAAATCCGCGTTTTATCAATGGAAATTTGACAACACCTCAAGGTTCATACGACGTTCTTCGTTAGCACGGCAGTTTATCCACAGGGTTTGCGTACAACATAGTTCCTTTTATCCTAAATACACCCCATTCATCAAAGTTCCCAGCCGGTCCCCCGACCCTCTCATGCGCGCTCGCCTCCCAAGGATAGGTATTAATATTTTTAACACCCCGCGCTGGCACTGGAGGTGATTAGGTTCCTAATGAAGTTCATTTTTTGTCCGGGCCCGGGGGCAATCTCTTCGCCCTCGAGATGGAGGAATTAGTGGAAACAATAGCGAGACAAATGACCGCGCTACCTTCAGATCGCGTTCCGATCGCACCTTCCCGTCCCCGCCCCCAACCTCGCGCCGCCACGGCCGCCACCCTGTCTCCCGAAACTATCCTTGTACCACGGGTTTCCCACGTAGGGTTGCCAGATCGTGTGCAAAAACTTGGGTATTTAACTTTGAGTTTAACGGGGAAGTGAGTTGGTTTTTCTGGTCAATCTGGCAATGATGCTCCCACGTTTAAATGGGGGTAGGTCCGGATTTTTCGACAGTATCTGCCAATACTTTCACAACACTACGGAAAAACGCCGTATGGACATTCGGATGTTGCCGAATTTCCCTTATCGAAAATATATGATTTTTCAAAGGAAGTTTGGCAACGTCCAAACCATACTTTTGGTTTGCAGTGTGTAAAATTTTAAAGTATAAGTTCACTTCTCAGTTTTTGAGGATATCCATAATTTCCTGTAAATTTGAAAAATGTAATGAAATTTTA